TGACATGAGTAGAGAAATTATCTTAGTTAGCTAAGATTTAGTTGTTATTAAGAAACTTGTGGCACTATCTACTGTATGATGCTGCTCTTTTATAAGGCCACAATATGGTTTAAAATCTTAACCACTAACTACTTTCTGGATTAAATTATAGAGAATGCAACTTCTGACTAATCACAAGGTCCTCACTATTGGCTAAATGGATCACACCACATGTTAAGATTAACATCTGATAGTTCTAATTTACCTCTGGCTAGGCTCGACTTGAAGGGTAAGATGTTAAAAGAGTGTTGTTCTTGAAAAAGTTGTAACTCTCAACTTTCATTTATGAGAGTGTGAACTTATAAGAAAGTATAATGAATTATAAGCAACCAAAGAGAATGACTTTAAAAACGATAAGAAGTTCAAATATAAAGAGAAAGAGTACATGAATAAAAATTCTTTTCTAATTGGTTAAAAGTCTTAAGATACTTAAAGTTAAATATCTTTTGGGTTTAAATAATACTAGGCTAGGTGACCTTTTAGTCTGAATCGAAATTCAGGAGTTTATATAGGGCTCAAGAGTTACAATTACCCATTATATATAGTTATAGAGGAGAAAAATTTCCTTCTTTTAATCGGTTAAAGGTTTTGGGATACTTAAAGCTAAATATTATTAGTTTGAATAGTACTGGACCAGATGACCTCCTGATCTGAATCCAAATTCAAAAGCTTATATAGGACTCAAGAGTTACAATTACCTATCATGCATAGCTATAGAGGAGAAAAATCCACTTCTCTCAATCTAACTTGAGTAATGACTTCTTTATTCATGTTTTACACTCTTTTTCTTTTAAGATAGGCAATTTTGTAATAGTAGGTTGTAAACAAGATGAAGCTATATATCAAAATATATTTCTTTATCTTAATTGTTGCTCTTAAACCTTTTCTAATCGGTTTGTAGTCATACAAATATTACAAGTAGTGACTTGTTATACAAATTAAATCTTAAGTTCTTAAACTCTTGGATAAAAATATCTTAAACTTCTCAAATATTGGTAGTATCTATGATTAGAGTGGTAACACTATGCAATAGAATGGCTATCAAGGATGTGATGTTAAAATATACTATCCATGATCTTTAGTGCTTTTTTCTTACACCAAGCACTATTGCTTTAATTGTTAGATTTTGAATGGATGGATTACATCTAAAGGCTATCTGATGTGAGAGAATTTATTCTTGTGCTTGGTTTAGAAAGTTTGAAGATTGTGGAGTGACACATAGTTGTGATGGGAGGAGCAATTGTAAAATGAACTTCCAGCTCATACATACTTAATTACCTTGCTCAATATTAAAAATTAACTTATCTATAAAAGTCATTAAAGTGTCATAGAAAGAGGTAATAACCTCTAGGTGAAAACCTAAGCTCTGAAAAATCAGCTTATAATGCTAGTTAAATAGTGATTATCATCACTATCTTGTTTCAGAGAGAAAATACAAATGTCACACAACCATCTCAATTAGATTGTTGAAAACAAGTAATTATATCAAACCATTTGCTATAACCAAATATATCAAAATATAAAAGGCCTCAACTATAAAATCATCATTATAGAGGATATGGTTTGAATAAGAAATTCTATCTGATAAAAAAATGTTTAATAAAAAAATTTTATCCAACAAATCAATAATGCTTTACTCCTTATTAACAATTCATCAGGAAAATTTTTATTAAATTAAACACCTTTAAACTACAAAAATAAGAAGAAATTTATACAATTAACTCCTTTAACTATCATTCTTTTAAATTTTATACTTTGCTTTGGGTGCTATCTCATCATAATAGAGAGCAAAAAGAGCTTCAGTAAATTATTTTTTAAAATCTCATTTGCAAATAATGAACTTTATTAGATTGTTTTTCAAACCCTTATCCACATTTGCGAGGGTGATGAACAGAAAATAACCTTTCGTACTTGTTATAGTTATTTTGAGTACACAGTGATGCATTTTTATTTAACTAACACTTTTATTGTTATTTACATATAATAAATAATATACTTTATAAGTTTTTTAATCCCTTTATTATCATCTATTTTGATAACATTATTATCTTCTCTGACACTTAAGAAGAACATAACCATCATATTCATATTTTTCTTTAGTATCTTCAATAATGTAAGTTTTTTATAAAGTCGTAAAAAATGTTATTTTGATTAAAATTCAATAGAATTTTCTGGGTATATTATTTCCTTATGCAAAATTATTATAAATAATGCTAACGTTTTTACTATTCATAAGTGGCAATAAAAAAATTTTATACTTGATTTTCAATATTTTCTTAATTTTATAAACTTTTACAAACACTTCATTTAGAACTTTTTCAAAATCACTCTGCTTTTTACATGACTTGCTAAAACAATACAACTTTTATTTAGTTTTATTTACTTCTGCTGTAATTCTTATCCATCTGTATAATATAGAGCCATATTTTGTTAAAATAGATGTTTCAAATTTTGATTTATGTGCTATTTTGTTGTAAGAGAAACCAAATAGTGAGTTTAACTTAATTATTTTTTATAATCTCACATACATTTGAGAGAAACAATTTTTTATACTTGTTATGGCCATTTTGAGTATATAGTGATGTTTTTTGGTTTAACTAACACTTCTGTTGTTTCTCAATATATGGTAAATAACACTTTTATAATTTTTGTGATCTTTTTATTATTATTTAATTTGATAATATTCTTATTTTCTTTGAAACTTTGAATTTCCTTAACAAAAACAGTTTTATATTGTTTGGGTAGATTAGAACTAAAATGGAAGTACATATAAACTTTAAAAAGTCAAAAAAAGTTTTAGCAGTTGAAAACCATACAAAAGTAACATCTTTTATAATGGAATTATGTTAGAAGGAGAATAATTTTTTAGAAGTCTTAAATAAAATGCCAATAAAAGTTTACAGAGCCAAAGAAGTATTAAGCATCACAAATAGAAATTGAGTTTTGCCATTCAAGAATGGTGAAAACCTTAGCAAAATGTTATATAAGGAAATAATAAAGCTAAAAAACTCTATTAAATTTTAATTAAAATAACATTTCTCTAACTTTTTAGAAAATGCCATATTTTTTAAAGTGCTAGAGAACAAATTAAACATGATGGTTATGCTCTTCCTAAGTTTAAGAGAAGATAAGAATGTCATCAAGATAGATAATAATAAAAAGATAAAGAAAATCACGAAAAATATCATTTTCCATATATCAAAAAATAATAAAGGAATTGGCCAAATATAAAATTATTAGCATATATTTAAAGTGGTTATAACAAGTGTAAAAGGGTATTTTTTATTTATAACCTCCCAAATAAAGATGAGGTTGTAAGCACCACACAGATCAATTTTCATGAAAAACTAGGCCTTGAAGAGCTGCTTCAACATCTAAAGGATAATCAAAGTCATAAAATAGTGACTTGTAATAGTCCACAACCAAATGAAAAGCCCCATCCTTCATTTATGTTTTGACATATTTGGTTATAGCAAATGATTTGATATAATTACTTGCTTTCAACATTTTAATTGAGATGGTTGTATGACATTTATATTTACCCTCACAAATAAGTTAATGCTATTTAAGCATAAGATCACTATTTAACTAGCAAGCAGATTTTGTAGAGCCTAGGTTTTCACCTAGGGAGAACTAGAGATTATCACCTCTTTCTATGACACTTTAATGACTTTCATAAATATAGTGTACAGCAAGCTGATTTCTAATATTGAGCAAGTTAATCAATTGTTGATGGGCTGGAAAGTTCATTTGGCAATTGTTCCTCTCTATTGTAACAATGAGTCATTCCATAGTCTTCAAACTTTCTAAACTAAACACAAAAAGAAATTCTGCCACATTAGATAACCTTTAAATTTAAAATATCCATTCAAAATCTAATAATTAATGTATATAACAAGTAATTGTTTGTAGACAACAAATCAATTTGAAAAGCAACAGTTACATAAATATATTCTTATATAACTTCATTATCCTACTGTTACAAAACTGCCCAGCTTAAGAGAAAGAGAGTGTATAACACAAACAAAGAGGTTCACTTCTCAAGGCAGCTTGAGAGAAGTAGATTTTTCTCCTCTATAACTGTGCATAATGAACAATTATAACTCTTGAGCCCTGTTGTGGTACCATAGTACTTATGTTAAGGTGAATGCAAGTAAGGCCACAACCTTGCTTACATTCACCTTGACACAGCTACTGTGGTACTACTTCTAGCACGACTTTGCAAGTGATCTGGCCTTGCTTGCATTATTTTGACATAGCTACCATGGTACCATTTCTAGCATGAGCTGCAAGCAATCCAAAACTGGGACGTGTTGTCAACAACGCAACACATCTTAGTCTTGGATCACTTGCAACTTGCGCAAATCATGAGGATCAACACAAATCTCACAAAATGCCTCCTTATCCTCCTCAGAGTTCTCTTCCACCTCTTCTTCCTCTTCTTCATCCTCTTTCTTTCACCACCTGTTGTTGTTGCTGCTGCTGCGAGCAACTTACATGCTGAAGATCTTCATGAATCTTTGGAATTTCGAGCAAAAGAAAGAAAAACCTTTTTTTCTCTTAGTTTTGCTGCTAAAAAAACCAAAAATCTGCTTAAAGCCAAAAACTTCAACCTTGAGAAGACCTGGATAGCTAAATCTCAGCTAGCTAGGGCAAATTTCTCTACTCATGTCATAAGTGTGGTGCTTGGAAACTATAGTTTTGTCGCGATCCAAGATCATCCAACTGCTGACTACCTGGATTCCCATCATAATAGAGCATTGATTCCCATCACAATAGAGTGTTTTCCCCAGAGATCCCTCTATCTCTTCCCTTCCCAGCAACAGCCACAAGTAAGCTGCTCACTTCTCAAATTCTTCATATACATTGAAGCACTGATTGAACACCCAGACCATAGGAGACTGGATTGATTTTTTTGACTAATTCAAGGGTTTGCGCCGCACTTAGGGGTTTTGTTAGCGATGTCGAGCGCGGGCGCGACAGTGAAGGCACCAGATGGTCGCGTGATCCTGCATGCACATGCCTATCCGGGCGCGGTGGTGGCTCATGTCTTGAGGACCCTGGAGCTGGATGGTTGGAAAGGCTATCTCATTTCTGATTCGGGGAGACGATTGCTTCTCGATACTCCAGTTGCGGATGGATTTACGTGCACTTTCATCCAGGTGAGTGCACTTTTGCGTGTTTTACTACCGCATCTGTGTTGATGCCTTTGTTTGCAGACGGAGCCTGCGGACAACGAGTGGATCAGGCGCCATAAGAAGCTGCGTTCTGCACCTGAAGTGGCACAGTCCCTTTCGGAAATGCGCCAGCATCTGGGAACAGATGATCCAATTTACAACCTTGGGCGGACCTCTGCACTCACCACACCTCTCGTGCTGGTGAGCAAGGCATTCGGCTGCTACGCCAGGCTTTTCAGGTGCCATTCTCCAAGTACAAGGGACTGGGAGTTCGTGAAGGATATGATGGACGGGATGAGTGCTTATTATGACGACGAACGAGCTCGGCAGCACGCCTTTACTCTGTTACTGGAGAATTACATCAACTTCAGCTGTCCTGGTATGTGCTTTCGATTCAAGGAAGCTCGTCCGGGCGAGTCCGAACCAGATATTTTGGTGGAGGCATATGTTGCGGAAGAATGGTTGCTGATAGCGATTGTTGAGGTTAAGCCAGAGAGTGGCTTCAATGGAGATCCTAGAGTCGAATTGGCCAAGTACTATGCAGATGCTACGGTTGAGAAGAGACGTATGCGGCACTGGAGTTTTGAGCGGTCTTGCTGCCCGGTTCTAGCATTGGAACTTGTTGGTCCGCTTCTGAGAGTTGGCGGTCTTGCTCATTTCACGGACAAGCCGGCTCACGAGCCGTTTACGCCGTTCCTACACATGCTCAAGTACCTCCAAGATGAAGACCACCTTCAACTCCTTTCCAGAGCCTTAGCTGCCATTCCAGCGACAATCAGCTCTTTAGTGCAGTCCTACGTGACTCTCAGCGGCTTGCAGGTGCAACACGGGCCGCGGAGGGACCCGTCCATCGACTTCCCGTACTTCATCACGGATGCACGGGCTCCGGTGGTCATTCGGTTTGTACGCGAGAGTAACTCGCTGCAAACGAGGGAGCAGCAGCTTGTGTTCTATACGCGGAATGCTGCTGGTGAACGAAAGATCGTCAAGTTCTGCCAGAGATATGGCTTGCAGGTGCACCAGCAATGGGCCGAGGATGGCTATGCTCCCCGTTTCCAGCACCAGGGTCTTGATGGAGGCTGGCTGGTGATTTCCATGGACTACTATGCTGCAGAGGATGGGTGGCGGCCAGTGACAGAGCTCGACCCGCGAGAGATGGTTGCTGGTCATGGAAATGCTGTGGAGGAGGCTAACAAATACAGGTTGGCGCCTTCGGACTGGGAAGAGTGCAAGATGGCAGTGAAGAATGCGTATCAGGTATTGCATTCTCGGTACCCGCTCTGGGTTCACGGTGATCTAAGGAGGCAAAACATCTTCTACAATGTCAAGACTTCCCAGGTGGCCTTTATTGATTTCGATTGGGCCGGCGTCCATGGCAAAGAACGATATCCACTCTGGATAAATCCGCTACTACAGTGGCCCCCTAGAGTCAAAGCGGGTGGGATCATCCTTGCTGAGCATGATCAACAGCTCCTTGATATTGAGCTTTGATTGAGTTGTTCCTTTTTTTGACAATGGCATTAAGTTGTTTCTTCTATTGCAAAAAAAAAATTGTAATTCTTATAGAGATCTTATGATAGATTAAGATGTTATTTCCTTCTCTATCTTTTACCTTGGGGAAAACTGGGAAGCTGTTACAAAACTGGCTGGACAAAGCCCAGGAAAAGAAAAAGAAAAAGAGAGACAGAGAGTGTACATACAAGAACAAAGAGGAGAAAGAGAGCACTCACTCACCATCCAAGAGTGAACACAAGTGGAGATTTTTCTCCTCCACGGCTCAATGGATCAATCAGTGGCGAGCTCTTTTCTTGGCACAGGATGGGCAATTGTAGCTCTTGATCCCGGCAGCCTTGCTTGCATTCACCTTTACGCAGCTACCGTGGTACCACTTCCGGCACGAGTCGCACGCGATCCAAAACTGGGACGTGTTGTGAGGATCAGCACAAATCCCACAAAACGCCTCCTCTTCCTCCTCCTCAGAGTTCTCTTCCACCTCTTCTTCGTCTTGCTCCTCCTCTTCCTCGTCCTCGTCCTCCTCTTTCTTTCTCCGCCTGTTGCTGTTGTTGCTGCTGCCGCGAGCAGCCTGGACAAAAAGAACTCATGCTTAAGATCTTCACGAAACTTTGGAACTTCGAGCGAAAGAAAGAAAACCTTTTTGCTCTTGGTTTTGCTGCTGGATTTATTCGCGGGCTTGGCGAGGACCTCGTGAATAGTGGGGAGATTGTTTATCATTCCGAAAAGCCGCTGCCTGCATGGGATGGAGTTGAGTGAGCAACGCAAAATCAATCAAAGAAATGCGCAAGAAAACATGAAAGAAAGAACAAGCTTGCATACCTGTCCGCTTTGTGCAACCGCGCAGCGTGATAGAACGCGACCGAGTAGAGCCACGAGTCGCTGTGTACCGCAACCAAAATCAGCCAGTCCGTTCTCTTCATTCCATCCTTCGCGAAATTAATTCCCAGCGAAGGCTCCGGGAGCTCGGGCGGGACTTCTTCCACTGGCAGGGTCACTTTCCACTCTCCATCGGGTAGGCCATACAGGCACAGGTCCTTGACTGGAACAAACAAGAATTTCTTCGCGAAATCAAATCGACCGTGTGAAGCACAAACCTGGATCGCATTCGTCGCAAAAGATCGAGACATCTACGCGAGAAAAAATTCAAGACCGAGATGAGAGAATGGATCGATCAAAATCCTACCCGTTGTGAGCGCCTTGACGATCCCCGCGCGCCTGCCCCGGAAATCCTCGAAGATCGCCTCCACAGTCGCGGGCGACTCCATCGTCACAAAAAACCCTAGCTACACCCAATCGCCCATGGGAATCGAACCATGCATCGGCGGGGCTCAATCCAAGCCCTTGGATCTGCACTGGTAGCATCCAACGGTTGGGAAGCATTTTGCCCTTTAGGCATGGCGGAGAAAGAACGCGACGAGCTGCGGTGGTGCTCCCTTGGCGCCGCTATCGCCCGGTAAGATCTCTAGGTCGGCACTCCTGGCTGGATGATTGTCTAGGTCTAGGAGCTCTCCGCGGCGGCGTGGCGGCGGAGGCGGCGGCGATCTATGGGGGACCGCCAGATCGAAGTTGTCGGCGTTCGCGTCGACGATGGCCGGAAGATCCTCCTCGTCAAGCCGACCGTCGTCCCGCCCGAGATTGTGAGCGATCAGGTGGACAATTTCCTGCTAGAAGCGCTTCAAAACCCTCGCGATCGTCTCACAGGTACCAAATTCTCTAGCCTTCTTTCCGGAGCTTATAATCTCTATGCAGTTCTTCGATTGGAGCAGGAGATACAGAAGTTTGCCAAGAATGCCGAGGTCCAGCAGCTAGAATTCCAGCCGATGGGGTCTCCTTTCTGCCAGCTCGCGACACAGCGCGTTGCTCAGCACTATGGCTTGAAGACCAGCGTGGTGGAAAGCTCTGGTGGCGCTAGGATTCACGTCACGAAGAGCCTGGACGGAGAGAATCGCCAAAGTGGCATTCGCTTGGCTGATATTCCTCCAAGGGTGGCTCAAGCTCTACAGCCCAGAGTAGCGATCAAGCAAAGGGGTGCTCCGGCTGGTTACAGGGACAAGAGGAACTCCAAGGTGGATTCCAGCAAGAGTGTGGAGGAAAGGAAGGAGGAATACAACAGGGCGAGAGCGAGGATTTTTCAGGAGGATTCTAGCGACGACGATAGCGTCAAAGATTGCTGCCACATCGAGGTGGTGAGGGTGGAGAACAAGGATGAAGCTGCGAAAGCCAACAAAGAGACGCGTGCCGAGACGACAGTGCCGAGGATCTGTACGAAAGACGACAAGGAGAACGTAAGGCGGATCTTCAAAGAAGAGAATGCGATCAAGCCAAAGCCGAGCACTCCAAACAGGGTGGCGATCATCCGAGACCGTGAGAAGGATCGAAAGGACCCCGACTATGATCGAAGCTACGACAGGTAAGATTTCTTCACATCTTTTGAGATTAGCTCATGATCTTGGTTTGTAACAGGTATCTCCAGCGTTATGATCGCGGCTTTGGTGGTCTCATGGCTCATCCGGTCTCTCCGGCTTATAACACGCAATTCGACGCTTGCATCCAGCAGCCAGCTCAATCGCTGTGTTCTTCGTGGGTGTCGCCAACTTACAATCCAGCAGCGTCCTCTGGATCTCCGATCCAGATGGGAGGAACTCGAGGGTCTTTCGTCATGGACAGCACAAGCTACTCGAGCTACGCTCCATATCAATCCCAGGATCCCAGGTTCTTTCACGATGGATTTTTCTCCTCCTCATCCTCGTTCCAAGCGTTTAACACTCTGGAGGCTCCACAGCAGCACTACCAAATGGCCGTGCTTCCAAGCTACAACATGGTCAACTTGCACAGTCGGCAGCACTACTAAAAGCGAAGGCTTCCAAGAATTTTGGAGACGAAAAACGGGAGGCATTGTAAGACACTAATTTTTTTTCTTCGGACGGGAATGTACGTATAGTCTTCGAATATGATTCTTTTATTCGCTGGAGATGCCAAATGATCAATCACGCATATGCCAATTCTTTTAACCGCCATGGTTTGTGTGGTTTGTGGTCTGAGATTCCAAAAGAAAGGATGGTGCATATCCACATCTCTAGGCAACATACAAGGGACCACCACCACCACCAAAATATTTCCAAACGAATGGTTTGGATGGCCGATTAAATCCTGGCCCTGGACTGACATACCAATGTGGAGTGTCTCTCGCATCACACATTTTTCCTTTGCTTTTTCCATACGTTTGAACGAGGGACCACGTGTCGCCGAGGAAATATCCACGCAAAAGATCTTGGGCCGCCGTAGGGAGTGGTCAGGCCGTACTGGCGAGATTTGTTGACCACATTTTTTGCGATCCCGGTCCACGTCGGCGGGAAGTACGTGCCACGCGGCGCGATCAGGCCTTGGAAATCGAGTGGCTGCGAGCGCCCGGCAGAAATATCTGGCGGCGATTGGTCCGCCCGTGACACGTCGGAATTCCACGTGGCGGCTCCCTCGTGGCTATATAGCTCCTCACGCAGTTGAATCGAACGAGGGAGCAAAAGGAAGAACAGAGGGAATTTGGCGGTCTTGGTGTCGCGCAACTTGCTGTTAGATCGATCACGGGCTTGTGGATGAGTGTTGGAGCAAGGCGCTGGTGATCTTGCGGGGATTCTATGGAGAAATCCAGGGATTGTGAGCTCTGCCAGGTGAGAGCGGCGGTGTATTGCTGCGCCGATGAAGCGTACCTGTGCTGGAAGTGTGATTCCAAGGTTCACGGGGCGAATTTCATCGTCGCCAGGCACTTGAGGTCGATTCTTTGCGGTCGATGCCATTCTCCCACGGCTGTTCTTGCGGAATCGTCGCCGCCGGGCCCTTGTTCTTCTCTGTGCCCTACTTGCGCTTGTCCAGCGTCCCTGGGCGATATTTCGGAGGATTCCATTCACAGCCAGCATTCTTCCACCATGGATCATGATCTAGCCGCGGAAGAGGAGGTTTCGTCCGCGGCGCCGAAGAGGGCTCGATCGAGCGAGCTAAGAACCAGATCTAGATCGCCGTCGCCGGATTCCGTGATTCCTGTTAGTAGGAAGCGCAAGAATGCGGCAATCGACGCGGCAGTGATCCCCACGCAGCAGCTGGTAAGGTCGATCAGGCCTTAATATTTTCAGGGATCTAAATCTCGGCATTTCTCTTGTAGGTAACGCTGGGGAGATTGGAGTGTGTTCTTCGCAACTGGGAGGGTGCTCTGGGGCTAGAGCCCTCGGATCACAGGGTTTCGCTGGCAATGCAGCTATTGCGGAGGATTGCGGTGTCGATCAAGGTGAATCGGCTGCCAAAGCTGGATGCCCGCGCCGCGCTTGCCGTGTGCCTGTGGATCTCCCTCAAGCTCGAGCGTGATCGATTGTCGCGATCGATTCCTAGGGTTGATCTATTTGGGCGGTGCACGGGCATCGCTGCTGACGTCTTGCTCACTGTGGAGGCCAGGCTTTGCGACGAGCTCTCCACGCCAAGAGTTTTCTTTTAAGAGAAAAAGATTTGGTGACGTGTCAAGTTGTGATGGACGTGTCCATGACGTGGCTTTTGTATTGTAACTGCCAGTAGGGCACCGTGACCGTCGGATGACGGGGCGTTAGGGCATGCGTAGTAAAGCGTGTTTATCCAACGGTCACGTCCTGCGAGGGAAAAAATTAGGGCTTTTTCAAATGTGGGCAACATGGTATGATCCTCAGGAGAGGCTTTCGGGGAGGAGGTTGTCCGTGTTGGTGCCCTAGCGGCGGCGGCGGCGTGAAAGAAGGCGCAGATCCAGGTAGCGGGGGATCTGGTGGCAGCAGTAGTGAGAATACTGTGACCGCTAGGGTTTTGCCGATAGCACGCATTCTATCCAGGTCTTCGAGCCGCAAAGAGCGCGAGGATAAAGAGGCTGCTGCTCGCGAGGAGCAGCGCATCCAAGGGATCATCATGGCGGCTATGGTGTCAGATAGCAAGACGCCCAAGGATGTTCGCTACGATCCGCATGCTCCGGGCGATAATCCCTTTGAATTGCCGCATCTCGCCGATTTTCTTCCTCTCCCTCCGGTGGAATCAACTTACAGAGCCAAGAGCGGGTACGCCAGGAAACAAAAGAGCTAGTGCTAAACTTCTCTCTTCGTGTTTGTAAGGCCGTTTCCTCAAGAAGGGGCTGTTCCAACGAAAGCCACTCCGGATAGTCAGGATATGCGTCGTCTGTTTGTTCATGACGACGATAGAGTTCTTCTCAAGGTAAAGGTCTTTGAAAGAACAGCAACTTAAACGTACCATGGCAAAACGCAGACTTTCAGTAGCTTCAAAGTACTTAACCTGGTAAACTACGCCAACAACAGGTGGTACACTATGGTCATCCAACTTCTGCCGGTATCGAATACGGGCCCAAGGGCGAATGGGAGTTCAAGCCTCTGTGGTAAGTTCCTTGTTTCGACAAAGTGAGGTTGTTTGTGTCTGTTGTATGAGGCGTTGTCTTGTGCTGGTTATCAGGTACCTTGTCAAATATCATCACTTTTGTTTAGTATGAAGTGACGACGATGTCTCTTGAGCTGCAGGGCTCATCGTGCAGGCCCGCGCGCGTGGATTTACTTTCACCCAATGACAGTATGTACGAGTTCTCGAGTATTGTCATATGCAAAAATGTACCTTTCTTTTTCTCTTTTCAGGTGCGAGCGGCTATTGTGACTTGCGGTGGTCTTTGCCCGGGGCTTAACGATGTGATTCGGCAGGTACGCATGCTTTTGCATAAACAAGTTTCTGCTGTTTTCTAATGTTTTTTCTGGTGCGATGCTTTTCAGGTTGTCTATACGCTCGAAACTTACGGCGTCACAGACATCTTGGGCATTCAGTATGGTTTTCGTGGGTTCCTTGATAAGACGTTGCCACCTATCATTGTAAGTATGGTAACATTGCTCGTTGCTGTACTTATCGCGTTTGTGTTTTTATGCAGCTGAATCGTAAGGTTGTTCAAGGCATACACATGCGCGGAGGAAGTTTTCTTGGCGTTTCGCGTGGGCACCCAAACGTTGAAGAGCTTGTTGACAAACTAGAGGTAACTGAGTGTGCTTTGTAAGCTTTAGCAAGTGAAGTATTGAAGCTGTTTTGATGCAGGAGTGGGGCATCAATATGCTGTATGTCATCGGTGGAAATGGCTCTCATGCTGGAGCTAGCGCTATCTACGAAATTGTAAGCTTGAGGAGTGAGTGAACGTGTCCGATTGCTGACACGTCCCTGCGTGCAGTGTTACAAACGGAAATTGAAGATTGTCGTTGTTGGCATTCCAAAAACCATTGACAATGACATTCTTTTGATTGATAAAACGTTCGGTTTTGACACTGCTGTGGAGGAAGCACAAAGAGCAATAAACGCTGCCTACGTTGAGGTATGTTGGAGGCACGCACTCAGTTTCCGCTTGTTTATACCTTGTCTCCGAATACATTTTGCTGCAGGCCAGTAGCGCTCTCAATGGTGTTGGTATTGTTAAGCTCATGGGCAGGCAGAGTGGATTTATTGCCATGTATGCAACACTTGCCAGCGGCCAAGTAGACCTTGTCCTGATTCCGGAGGTGAGGTTTATGGATTGGTGACCCGGCTACAACATTTTCACTGCTTGTGAACAGGTGCCTTTTGAAATGGACGGAAAGAATGGTGTTCTAGCGTTCATGAAGAAAAGGCTTGACAAGAATGGTAACTGCGTAGTAGTCATTGCCGAAGGTGCTGCTCAGGTACTGTTTCCTTTATTTACTTTTCTCCTTCCGTTTAAACACTTTCTGGTTCTTACAGAATTATCTCGAAGGCACCGGAGGCACTGATGCATCTGGCAATCCGATCCTAGGAGACGCTGGAAAGTGGCTCTACAATCTTGTGAGTAACTTTGGTTGTCGAACTACACATTATCTGACTTAGGAGTGTCAATCTACAGGTTAAATCCCACTTCAAGGAGTTGAACATCCCTGTCGATGTGAAATACATCGACCCAACGTACATGATCCGAGCAAGAGCTTGCAACTCGTCGGACCACATCTACTGCAGCGTCCTTGGACAGAATGCGGTATGTACATAGCATACACTCGTGTCCGAAAAGCTCAATTCATTTCTTGCGTTTTTCCAGGTTCATGGTGCCTTCGCTGGCTACACAAACTTTAGCATTGGACTGGTGAACACGCATTACGTGCTGCTGCCGATTCCAGAGATCATCAAGACTGCTCGAGCTGTGGATCCAAACAGCAACATGTGGCACAGATGCTTGGGATCCACAGGCCAGCCAGACTTCGCTCCGGGGCCTCCAGAAATCAAGCCGAGCAGCTATCCCCTGAGCCAGAAGAGAGCCAGCAACTTGATGCAGATGAACGCCATGGCTCAGCCATCAGGACCGGCTTCCAAGCAGCCAGTGAAGACACAGGGGCCTTCCAAAGCAGCGCAGGGCGCCAAGGCAGCTCAAAAACGATAGGAAGATCATCATCTCTTCCAAGTTTTTCTTTCCGAAAGTTTCATCGCTACTCGTGTTCTACGTTCTCACTTGCGAAGGAATTTTTTTTGTAGCAAACGTTGTGTGAGAATGTCTGGTGGATTTATATGAAAACTTTCATCCAAAATCGTAGTAGTACTTTGATGTTGTAGAAAGAGTTCCTTAAGGAAGAACAAAAGCAAGAAAAACTTCTAGTAGAGGTACCTCAGCCATGAAGAAAGATGGAAAAATCTCTTCTTCCTTCTTCCTTGATCTCTCAACGGTAGGACTTCTGGAAGCGAGCGCGAGCTCCGCGGCCTCCAAACTTCTTGGGCTCGCAGCGCCGGGGATCAGCCACCAGGAGCGTCCTGTCGTAGCTCACCAATCGATCCTTGATCTCCTTCTTGGAGTGCTCGTCCACAAACTTCTGCGTGAAGGCCACCAGCGCCTTGGCGATGCTCTGCCGGATGGCGTAAATCTGGGAGGTGTGGCCTCCGCCGCGCACGCGGATCCTCATGTCCACCCCCGCGAAGCGCTCGCGGCCGAGGAGAAGGATCGGCTCCACCGCCTTGAATCGCAGGATCTCGGGCTCCACAAGCTCGATCGGGCAGCCATTGATCTTGATCAGCCCGCGCCCCTTCTTGCAGTATGTCACCGCCACTGCCGTCTTCTTCCTGCCAAAACACTGCACGGATTGAATAGCCGCCGCCATCTCACCTCCGCGCGCCGCCGCCCCGCCTCCGAAGAACCCTAGCCGAGAGCGAGGATTAGGGTTCTGGGCTTTGGGAGAGGTCTTTGGCTCGAATCCTGGGAAGTTAGATCTTGAAATTAGGGCTCTTGCTCTTACATTGAACAAACAAAATATTCCTTTTAATATTCGTGCGGCGGCTTCTGTGTAGGAAGGATTCCAAATCGCTTCTTGAGCATCACGCGCTGCTTGGAGAATTTATCGTCCGGGGAGAATCGCGCTGGATGGATGGACAAATCCCAAATCGAAATCAATCGCAGGAACAAAAGAGGGCTTTTTTCTCTACCTGGATGCGAGGATTCAGTGGGCGATCCATCGGGCGCCTCTTTCTGCCATAAAAACCCATGAAATTCCATCTCGCAGAGCTATGGCTCACCTTGATCGTGTACACCTTCTGGCCCTCCTCGTTGACATAGCACATGAGATACATGATCGATCGATCGAGCGCCCGCTAAACGCCTAAACGCCCACCAAGAACCCTAAAACGCGGAGGGAAAAAAATTAAGCCTGGATTGTGGGAAGGAATCCAATCCAATTCCATTCCATCCACGTCGGATCCTTGGAAACTGCGATGCATGGGCAATGGCGATGGGAGCATCCCATCCCATGCCCATCCCCATCCATCCATTCATTCGTTTCCATTCAACTTCCTTTATTGACATTCATAGCCTATGGCATGGGGGGTGTTATATGTGCCATGTGTGTGTGTGTGGGATCTATCTGCGAATGAGAACGGAATCCCTGGGCCTTTGCTTGTAGGGTTAGGGCAGGCTAGGGTGCGCAATCGCGCTTGGATCTAGCCGCCTCCTTGCCGATTCCCTCCACCGCGTGAGCGAGCGAGTGAATCCCCCGCCGCGAGCACAGATTTCGGGCGAAATATCGGGTCGCGCGGTAGCGGCAGCGGCGGCGGCAGTGGCGGCGGCGGCGATTGATGGTTGAATCGCGAGTTTGGCTCCTCCCGGGGCGGATTGGCGCGGCTATGGGATCGATGCTCTAGCCGGGTAGCTCGATGTGGTGGTGTTAGGGTTAGGGTTTGAGGGGTTTAGGGATTGGCTATGGTTGCTTTGGTGCTGGCAGCCAGGAATATATTTTTTGGCTCCACGAAAGATGTCCAAGGCGCTTATTGGGAGAGGCAAGCCTCCCTCTCTTCTACTCGCGGTGCAGTGTGGGAAGAAGAAGAAGAACGAGCTCTCCAGCCCGGAGAATAATGGAAACTTTGATGATCGGCCAGTGGACCTTGCGTCGGGAGGAAATTTGGAGGTATGGTTTTCTCTTAAGTTGGTGTGTGTGAGTTTGCTGATAAGTTGTTTCCTTGTGCTGAAGATTCATTTCATGGATTGTCCCTCGTACAATGAGGTGAAGCAAAAGCTGAAAGCCACGCGACCAGAGTTTTTGCTGCTCCTGGGAGAGAGAGGCTCCGGCCGGAATGAAGTCGGGTCGCTCTGCCTCGGGGAGAAGATCGTCACGGGGGAGACTCTGAAATCCATGATTGGTTCGAAACTTCCAGAATTCGTAAAGACTTTCCGCATGCCCGTTTCCTACACGCTGTTGACGTTCGCTTTTGCGCTGCAGGTCTACATTGAGTCGTCAAATAGTGGAAAAGTTGCCGACAGCATCCATACACTCGTACGTCTGCCACGAGTTTTTTTTTTTTCTTTTCTTTTCTTTCTTTTCTTTTGTTTTTCTAACTAATGGAAGTGTTTCCTCTTTCCAGGGAGTGAGGCATGTTGCACATTGGGATGGCTCTGTGACTTCTCTAGCTGCTGCTCACTTTCGGCAATCGCTTGTAGCGTGCTTGAGGACGTAAGCTTTTGTTTGGAAGCTCTGCAAAGCTTCGTTTACGTGTTTTTGTTTCAGGCCTGGGTGTGATCCTTGGGATGCATTTGAGCTGGCGAATGCATCATTGGAGATACATTATGGGCAAACTAGTGGCAGCCAGCCGATGCTCTTAGGAGAAGGTCCACCGGTTCTTGACGATCCTCTTAAAGACATGGAGGATGATCCTCCTCTTATTCAAATTTATGACGAAGAGACGGAAATTCGCCTTCTTGTCTGTGCTGAAGCTTGTGCGTCGGTACACATCTCACCTTTTATCTTTGCTCTAAGTTTAACAAACGCTTACTCTTTGTTTACCTGTTTACTAGGATTCAAGCTCTTTACAAGCCGTTGAGGTCGCTTTGACGTCACTTTTCGCAATAGAGGTACGTGCTTCGCGTAGGTTCTGTTTTACCATTTATCTTTTACAACTTCAGGTTAGAGGCATGCGTCTTATACATCGAATCAGGTGAGTCGTTTTGGATACGCCTCCTTTCGTTTCTGACATCTGAATTGCGTGCGCAGTGCCCCTCCGCCACCCTCTGCAGCATCAACGTTTGCTCGTGGAGTTGTAACTATGCGTTGTGACCTTTGTACTTCTAGCAGCGCCCGCATATCTCTTGTGGTGTCTGGCAGCGCGCAAACTTGTTTTGCCGATCATGTAAGTCTGGTGTTGAGCGAATGATGATTCTAACTATTTCATGTACAGTTTTTAGAATCTACTATTAGGAAAGGGCTTATGGAGAAAAGCCAGGCTCTTCAACTTATTATGTCCGAAGATAATATGCCTGCTGAAATAAGGCGTTCCACTTCTATAGCGTGCGGGGCTGCTGTTGTCGAGACCCGTGCTAAAGTTCCAAACTGGGCTGCTCAGGTGCGCCGTGTTTTATTTCTGCTGGCTCTGAAATACGTTTATCGTGGTGTTCCAGACTTTGAGGCAGCTATCAACTGACACATCGTACAAGACCTTAGTTGCTCTTGGCATTGCCGGTATTGAAGGGTCTCCTGTCGCTGCATTCCAACAGGAAGACGCAGAGAGGCTGGGCCTTTTAAGAAACGAGCCGCCGAAACCACTGGGTTCTCCTCGTTGCAATGGTTTCAGTGAGGCGCCCATCATTCCTGCATGGCTCACACCAGCAGCCCCGACGAGAAAGAGACAGAACCTGTGCCTGTCGAGCATCAACTTCAATGGTGACGGGCCTTTAAACGGCGACAGCAAATCAGTGTTCCTCGCTGCGATGAAGCCGATACCACATGCAACTCGGCGGAAGTTGATGCCTTTTGCGGGCGTGGTTTCGGCTGGGGCTCAGGCTGGCTGGTCCATGAAGCTGAATGGAAATACAAAAAGCACCAGACCCGAGGGGACGTCGGCGCCGTCAGGCCATGGAAGAGGAGGGCATACGTTTCCGATTGTTCTTCCCAGCGTCAAGAAACATCACTGCAGCCGCCCGTCAATGTTGGAGTGTCCAGAGGTGAAGTCTGCTTTGCTCTTGATACGCCTGGTTTCAGTAACTAATGTGGTCTTTACAGGAGGAATTTCTTAACGACGTTGTCCAGTTTTTGGTTTCCAGAGGACACGGTCGACTCATTCCTCCAACTGGTATCGAGGCCTTTCCGGATGTTGTGTTGAACGGCAAGAGGCTCGATCTCTATAACCTGTACCGGGAGGTAAGTTTCGCGTGTTAATTTTCTTTTGTGCGGAGCCCCTGTTGGCCCACCTTTCGATGTTTCAGGTCGTCTCCAGAGGAGGCTTTCGGGTTGGGAATGGCATCAACTGGAAAGGTCAAATATTTTCGAAGATGCGTAACCACACAACAACAAACAGAATGACTGTATGTGGCATTCTTTTCCCGCAAAGTTGACTTCGGGGCTGAATGTGTCGTTTTATCTCTGGCAGGGCGTCGGCAATACACTAAAGAAGCACTACGAAACATATCTTTTGGAGTACGAGCTTGCGCACGACGATGTGGATGGCGAGTGCTGCATCTTGTGTCACAGGTGAGCGGAGCACGACTTTACTTTCTTTCTCTGTGGAAATCCCATTTGCACTGACGCGCTGGTTGTACAAAAACACTTGCAGCAGCGCAGAGGGCGACTGGGTGAACTGCGGCATCTGTGGCGAGTGGGCTCACTTCGGGTGCGATAGAAGGACGGGCCTGGCAACATTCAAGGTACGTGGACGGTGGCGGTCCGGCGTGGTTTTCCTCACATTCCAACTTTGTTTGCTTTAGGAGTATGCGAAGACGGACGGGCTCGAGTACATATGTCCTCGCTGCAGCGTTGGCTCTGCCAGAGGCGTGACGTCGAGGAAGAAGCAAAGGCCTTCTTCCGGGGACGGTCTCGTCATCTTCAAAGGCAGGAAGAATTGATTGGAAGACTCCAAGGAGGAGCAAAGGAGCCAAGGAGGAGGAGGAGGAGGTGTTTGTATATTCCAAGAGTTTTTGTGGGGGCAGAGGTCTGTTGCTTTGTACATTGTATAGGAGAAGGAGAAAAACGCACCAAAAAAAAAAAAAAAAAAAAAACAGATGGATTGATTTCTCTCTTCTCTCATCACATTGTAAATGTGATGATAAGGAGCGAGCTAAAAGGAAGCAAAAGATATAGAGAATCAAAGATTGTTTTGTTTAATACCCCAAGTCTTCCAAGTTCTCTCTTGTTGTTGTCCAGGGGAGGGGCTAAAGTGCCCACCACCAAACAATAAAGAATATACAAGGATAGAAACAACTGGAAAGCCACTGTGCAAAGCATCCCACTCTTTTCATGTGAACTCTCTCCTCTCCCCCTCTCTCTCCCCGGTCTTTTTTTTCATATAAGAGAGGGAGTGACTTCTACGTAGGGAGTTTAAAGTCGTCTCTCGTTTCTTCTCTCTTCCTTGTCTCCTTTGCTTGGGAGAGTTCCGTTTGGCGGCCAGCGCTCGTGACAGCCATGAGTAGCAGCTCACCAAAGAGAATGTCCGCCGAAAGCCAGGTATGGAGAAACTTCTCCTTTTCGAAAAGGTTCTAGTTTGTCCGTGTGCTTGGATCCGGAAGAAAGAGTACCTGGCCGCCGCAATTGACTACATACAGCACCTGGAGCGGAGCGTGCAGTGCCTCCGGGACGAAGTTTGCAAGGCGCAAGAGCAAACCGACGAGGATCTCAACGACGATGCCTCGTCGCTCACCACCAGCTGCGTCTCCGGCCTGGAATCCAGCGACAATATCAATAGCATCGTCTTGCAAGTAAGCGGAGGAGAAGTGAAAAACTTCTCTTCCTTTCCCTTTCCCCTTCCTGTGTTCTTGGATCATGATATTCATTCTTTTGTGTCGACGTAAAGTTGGAGGTGTCCCGGGACGACAGCAGCAGCATGTATGCCTTCCACATCGTCTGTAAAAGCGAGCAGCAAGCTCTAGAGAGATTGGTGAGAGCGTTCGAGGAGCTGGACGTGGAGGTCCAGCAGGCCAACATCACGACGCGAAACGAGCAAATAAGCAGCTATTACCTCGTCAAGGTACTGAAAAGTGGCCCGTCCGTACCTACGTGTGTTTTGTTCTTCCTGCTCTCAGGCCCCGCAATGGAGCCGCCTCAGCTCAGACGATGTAAAGAAGGAGTTTCTCAGCACGATGTCCAGGATTGGTGTGCCACTGTGACATATGAACTTCTTTGGTGGCTGGCATGTCAGTTCAAAATCTGTGGTCTAGACTGGACAATTGCTACATTTCCGCTGCTGTACACACCTTCTATATCCTGTGTGATCAAAAAGATGAATCTTAAATTTTAATCAGTACAATGCTTAGATTACCTGTGGCTGTCCATTGAATGCAGCCTCCACATTGATCCCGACTTGACAGACCGCTTTCAGAAGCTGACCACGAAACTGATAGAAGAAAACAAGATGAGAAAATAGAACGAGGAAAGTGGAACACACTCACAGCATGGTCCCATATGAGTCGTTCTTCGCTATAGTCTAGCACGACCTCCTTGGAGACATCTACGGTGACACTGTCATATCTGCCCAACTAAAGGTTAGCTCCAGTGAAAAAGATATGTAGAGCTGTACTTACAGTCCAGCACCAGAAAAGCCTTCAAGATCTTCGCCATTTGAATCCGATCGTGCGATGACCGTTCCTTCGGCTGCAAACAGTCCAACGCGCTTCGAAGGCAGTGATAAAATCCTCGCTTCTACAAAAGTGGAGAGGTTCAGACAGGTTATCAGCCATGCTAACTGGTCCGCACCTTCCAGATTCGATTTAGCAACAGTGAAACTAAATGCACTGCCCTTATGATTCCCCACAAGGACCTCTCCCAAGCCTGGAACAATCTGCAGCTTCGAGGTATGCTTGTCAAAAACCTCTCGTGGCCAAATATAAGTTACCTCACAGAACATCAATTCCGGGTCTTTTGCAATAGGATGCATTGTATGGATCACAAATGCATAGTCGGTTGCAATAACTTTCTGGATCAGACAACCCATAAAAAGTGCCTCGTCAGGAATTCCATGAGCTCGCCTACTAAGCCTGGAAAGGAAAGACAAAGCTATAAGAGATTTCAACGATAGGACAAGAAGTTACCATGCTCTATCAGTCCATTTACTTGACCACACTTGGCATATGGCTTGCCACGCTTTTTCCCAATTGTCCTCATTCTCCCATGCACCCGTCGGTATCAAACCACAAGCCTCCGCTACACTGGTCACTTGTCGCTTCAGATCCTTGGGGACTGTCAGTTTAGTTCTGACAAGGCCCCGAATTCTAGCCAATTCGGTGGAAATTCTGCATTTTAAAAAGCATTCACGCGAGATGTGAAGATTTACAAAGCTCACCTTTCTGAGTCAGACGTTGCTTTCAACCTCTGTAACGAAAAGCCAAAGGGAGAATTCACTCCAGAATTGATAGGATCGTTCATAACGCTCTCAAAAACACCAAGGGGCAAAGCAATGGACGGAGGAAGCTGAAACAGAAATTTAACGTTATAAACAGCTTAAAACCAAGTTTACCAAAACTGATTTGTCCAAGGCCTTTCTCATCATAGAGATCTTTATGGATTTTGCGCCAACTTTCCCTTCCTCAAACTCGTCCTCTGACAGCACAAGTTTCTCCAGCTAGAGACAAGCGCATGAGGAAAATTGAGGTGTAAAGGAAGATAGACACAAACCTGGTAATTCCTTATGGAAGAAGTTTTAACGTGGGTAGTGCCTGTAGAAGAACAAAAAATTACTAAACATCAACCAGTATCAAAGTGTACCCACAATTTTCGGCTTTGAGATCGTGTTCGGCACATTCATCGCATTCAGAAACTAGAACTTGCCCTGATGCACCAATGTTAACAAGAACATGTTGTCCTGACAAAACCTCACAGAGTGTCACGGCGTTGATTATAAAGCTTCTTACGGAATACCTGAGAAAGACTTCAGACTTCCAAACTCCTCGCTGCTAAAGCAGCTAGAGAGCAAAACCTGTTCACTAGAAGAATGTAGTTAACTCCATCCTAATAAAATACGTACCTGAGAATCTCGTGCACGAATTGCAACGTGGCTGAGCATATCAACAGTGCTCGCACACAGCACAGCAGTTACACCAACTGGTATGTCTTCCATGCCATCTACCTATATTATCTTGACAAAGCAAAGATCAGAAAAGAAACTCTCACCTTCTCTGTAAGAACAACATGTGGTTCCGAGTAAGTAAGACCTTGAATTGATGACAACGTTGGAAGGACCACGACCTTTCCAACCGCAGAAGGCTGATGGCTTACAACCTGCAAGAACTAAAGTAAAACAAGAGAGAGAAAAACTTTATAGAACGTGCACCTGCCAAGTGCTTAGTCCCGCAGTTCCACGAAGAATCGATTGCAATCTCTGTAGAAGGCCGGATATATTAAAGAGTACTTGTCCTCGTACAACCTATGTAGAGCAGTAGTTACAACATAGCGACCAATAGCCTACAACTTGCAAACCTCTTCACCAAAATTCTTTATGTAGCTTTCTGCAATACCACATGCTTTACCAAGAATTTCCGCATTCGGTTGTACAATCTTGTAAATGTGATCCATATAATCTGCAAGGCTCGCAACAGTGAAAACTATGAACTTGCTAGAAAGATGAAAAAACCTTCAACTGAGAGTGCTATTCGATCAGCAGCGGACATAGCCAGCAGCGCCCAGGTTGATGTCCATCTCGGTTCTGCTTTCACCTGTACGTTCTTATCAACACAGAAGCTTGCAAATCGACAACGTGCATACTTTATTCCAGTATTTCAGGCACATGTTAAGCTCCTCACTTTCGGCATCGATGCAGCAGTTCTCAAGAACAAGAGATAGGAGCTCGCATAAGTCATCTCCGCTTAGTGCAGACTGAAACACGAGAGTTAGAATTGGCATATAACATTGGAGTTTTACCTTGTCAATCCGTCCAATAGAAAGCCCAAAAAAGTTGTTGAGAGCAATATCCAGCAGCATTACGTCCCTCTGCACCAGACCTCCTCTCCATACTTTCTCAAGTTTCTTCCTGGCCTTGACAAGTTCTCCAGGTATCCACCTGTTCAAGCTTAAGTTGTAAACTAGCAATTGAAATCACAAAGAAAATACAAACCAAGCATCCCGGTTGCCAAGTATATTGTAAATTATGCTCTTGATCTCATCATCCAGGTACCCCTTGCTCATCTCAGCCATGACATCCAGGTCCGCGCCAGAGTGAACGGTTTTCAAGATCCAAAGGAAATGCTGAATATGGAATAGCAATCAAAAACTTTAAGCCGTCAACAGTAAATGAAGAGAGCACCTGAAAAGCAGGAATCAGGTGGGGAAGATGGACAGGATGTCCAGTGATAGGATGATCCATCGTTTCTATCCATTCCTTGCTTATGCGTCCGTTGTTCCTGAGTTATTTAACTATCAGAACGTTCGTCAAAAACTGGAACTCCAGACCATAGAGTTTGATAAAAATTGTCCATGTTATTTGTCCGTAAAAAGTGAAGGTAAGCCTGCATCTCACACACAAACCCACTGCGACATTGAACATGGATAAACACATTACTACCTCACATATGTGTATGTCCTCTGAAGAAGTGTTGGTATGCAGCTTTTGATGCCACTGTTCTAGAAAATGATCTTCAATTCCTGGCCTTCACAACACCATTAAAACTTTGTCCTGGTTTCAGGGAAAACATATAAGGATTGCATTGTTACCTATGTCCCTCGCGAATCCCGTTCTCTCGCATAATGTTTAATATTCTGCAAGCTAAAAGCTTAGTAAAGCATGCTGTTGGCCTAAGCAATCGTTTACCCCATTCGAATCTGGTCAGCATCCCCACCTCCACGGGGAAGTGTGGACAAGATCAGTCTTGCGAACTTTTTGATGGTAGGATCTTTCCCACGGGCTGCTTTCTCAGCCATCAAGGACGCTAGCCGCTATATTGAAAGGAGAAAAGAAAACAAAAGAGCAGAAGTTAACGAAACATACGAACTCACTAGAGTCCGAAGGGTACCTCTTGGACATACGCAATATCCTTTGACTGATAATTGCATTTTCTGTACCATGTAAGCTGCAGACAAGCCATCAACGCAAAGAGGTTTTCAAACTTTGTGAGGTTTTTAGCACCTGTTTAAGTGCTGAAAAGCGCAGCCAAGTATACATGAATGCCATGCCATTAGCACCAATTTCCTCCGCCGCATCCACAAGCTCCGAAGCTAGGATAAACCGATTAAACAGGGACCAGTTATCAAAAGTGGTTTCTGATAAGATCACCTGTAAAGCTTTTATAAGAACGAGTTACCAGACAAAGCCAAACTTCATGCCTGCTCCATAAGATCGTTGAGTTCAAAGCATTTCAAGGGAACTTGAAAACAACCGTTGTTGTTGTACCAAGCTCCATCAGTATCCTGCAAGAAAGACCATAAGAATGGTGTTTCATGGCAAGACGACTCACCTTTAGCACAAAAACGAGGCACCGAGGAACTTCCAGCTCGGGAATTTTCATGGAAATCTGCGACGATCAGGAACGAAGTTTAAAGCTTGGCAGCAAAACTTTGTCTCACCTCCCAGCTTCCAGACTCAGATCGAGTGAACGGAGTCTCGATGGCTCTGTCAGTGACTTGAACAGTCCCACTGGGCCACCACGAAGCACTAGGAAGGGACCAATTATTCACAGCCCAGTGAAGAGTCTAGACGAAAAGAGAAAAAGAGTTAGAACCGAGAGCTCAAAACCAGAAGAAGATCTTACCAATCCTCCAAGAGGCGCGCTGAGAAGAACCTCGTAGAACGTCTCATTGAGCGCATCCTTGAGCGAGACGGTCACGGTCACGGCGCTCTCGGGCTTGAAAACGAACGTAAACGTCTCATCCACATGAGATTCCAGGTCCTGGAGGATGCTACACCTGTGACTAGTCGCCGACGCGCAAGCGGACACTTGCGCCTGGGCATCAATGCTGGTCATGGTCGATCCATAGGCCTGGGAGCTGCACTCGTCATCCACTGCCGAGCACACGCATCTCCCCGGCCTCTCTCGTGAGAGAACGATCGCGGCGCCGAAATTTCGCGCATTCTTGCCGTGGATTCTCAAAGAATCGCCTGCCGCGACCGGATTTCCAGCGCGATTCGCTACAGCTCGCGAGAAGACGCTGCTCGGAGCATCGAACAGCGCTAGAGCCATGGGAAAACCTGAGCCCTAACCTCGGATTTGTGAGATTCACTGTAAGGAGACAATTTGGATCCCTGCGCCACGGCGACGTGTCCGATCCTTGTGAAGCTCCACCAACAATGACGGCAATCTCGGTTAGCGCTCACAGAACGAAATATTTAGATCAAGGAACTAGCCTTAGGTTAATTCAAAATTGGGCGGGAAAGCTCTCGGAGCAGAGATTAGGGTTTATCCGCGTCGCCGCCCATGGTAAGCGCATTCTCACCTCGTTCTTCTTCGATCGCCCAGCTTGTCTTTGATCGCCGAGCTTGTCTCGTGATTTCTCTCAAGCATTAGCATTCTTTTCGAGATTTCTCGACCATTTCTCATCGATCTTTTGGGGATTTTGGCAGTCGAAGAAGCGAGGGCTTTCCTTGGAGGACAAAAGGGAGCAGCTCTTACAGATCTTTTACGAAAGCCAGGATTTCTATCTGGTAAGGTCCTCGATTGATAGCATTGGATGGATATGGATAAATTTTTCTAACGCTGCTCAGCTTCGTGAGCTAGAGAAGCTCGGCCCACGAAAGGGTGTGATCAGCCAGGCTGTCAAGGACGTGCTGCAAAGCCTGGTGGATGATGATCTTGTCTTCAAAGATAAGATAGGCACCTCAGTAAGTTCTTAGACCATTGTTTTCGAATGCCAGGTAATTTTTTTCTCAGGTATATTTCTGGAGCCTTCCTAGTCGCGCAGGACATCAGGTAATCAGGCACGACTGGAATTTTTCTTTGTTTTTTATAAGGTTTTTTTCTTTTTTTCTTTACTCCAGCTTCGCCAAGTTCGAGCAAAGCTCGAAGCTGACTTGTCTGCAACGAAGTCCCATCGGCTGGAGCTGGAAAAGATGAAGGAATCGTCCAAGAAAGGAAGAGAAAACTCGGTAAGTTCACTATCTCGTCACTTGAGTTTAATTCTTCTTTTAACGCTGCATTATAGGATGAGAGGGAGGCGGCAATAGCTGAGCTCAACGAAATGGAACAAGAACACAAAGCTTTGAAGGTGAACTAACCAACAATAACCTCTTGACATCTTAAGATCTTTGCTTTCCAGGATGAGCTCGAGCAATATGCGGACAATGATCCAGCTCTCTGCGAGAACATGAGTGAGTCGCTCTCATCCATGAAACCATTTCAAAGCTCATAGTTTATTTTCCAGAAAACGCCACAGAGATTGCTCATCAAGCGGTGAATCGCTGGACAGGTGAGTACTTGAAGAAAAAAAAACTAAAGTAGCACTGAACCTCGTTCGTTGTTCTTTTCCATCCAGACAACGTCTTCTCTCTCCAGAATTGGTGCAGCAACAATTTCCCCGAGGCAAAAGAGCGGCTGCAATCAGTCTATAAAGAAGTAGGCAAGATATCTCGTGACAACTTTTTAACTTTTGCCTCTCCACAGGTGGGAATAAATGACGACTTCGATTACCTCGATTAACAGATCCAAGGACAAGCTCTTCTTTGCGAGATCTGTGACTGTCAGTAAGTAAATGTGTTCTTAAATAACTACACTATGTGTTATCAGATCAAGACACCCTTAGCTCTCGTGATGCTTTCTACAAGTCGATATATCCAGCGGTCAAGCATCCCTATCACCGCAAAAGCATAAAGTGACGCAAAAGAAATATCATAAGATACGATACCTGTCAAAGAAAAGGTCCCGCCAACAATAGCACAGAATCGCGTAAGCAAATGTCCAAAGCTTCTCCTTTCCTCTTTGATTAACACCGTGATGGGCGATAAATCGTACAAGAAGTAGACCGCTGCTCCATCAAAAAATCACATCAAACGCGAACGAAGAAGAAAAACAACCCAACCTGGCCAGCTTATGTCGTCGTCTCGAGCAGCTAAATAATACTCTCCCACTGAGAACTGATTTGTAGGAAGCTTTCCACCATTCAAGTATCTATACTCTGTTGGCACGATCTTTTCAAAGAACAGAAGCAAAGATTTGTCGCGTGCACGAGAATTGAAAAGACTACCTTGATGAAATACTTGAATGTGCCCGCGGTGTCACGTAAAATCCGCACAGTTCTATCCAGCGGGTTGTGAATCCCGGGATACTTTGGTCCGAACGAGAGATCGTTGATTATATGGCTCACGTTAACTTCCTTGACGCTGTGGAAGATCTGTAAGAACAGTGCCCGTAGAGCTTTTGATTCGATATATTTCCATTTGAACGAAAGAATCGATCGAAACTTGCCTGGCGCGCAACCTGGAGGCTCATCCCGTGCATGGAGATATGGAAGTTTCCCGCAACTCTTTCCACGTCTAGAACACCAAAAACCTGAGCAAGAACACAAAGGATAAAAGGAATAGACTTGGAAAAAACGAGTGTAAGATTTGTATTTACCCGGCAGCCTTCCCCATCTTGAAGTGCCTTGTTGATTTCGTTCACAACCTTTACGGCGCTCCGTAGTTCCTCATGCGAATGGAAAATGCCTGTGAGGTTATCTGAAACAAAAACCGGCAGAGAAGAATGATAAATCTATGAGCGCGAGAAACAAACCATGGGCATGTTCCTTCTCAACAAGGTCTGATAGATACTCCGATCCCAAAATGTGACCGTCTTTGTGGAGACGAAGCTAGAGAAAATCGAAAACAAAGTATAAGACGCGAGAGAAGAACTATAGAATTCACGGTTACCTTCCAAATGTTCGTGTCTAGATCAACTTCGTGTTTGCCAGACATGTCGATAGCATCCACGCTCAGAACTTAGAACAAGGAAATGTGAAGTTAGATCGTAAATTCATCAAAGAAGAGATTCTTTTTACTCTGGCAAGGCAGTGAGGGGAACGTAATGTTAATGTGAATTGGAAGATTTTGCCCGCGCGTCGTGTCTACCGACATCTGGTTTCCAAAAAGAATGATCAATCCTCCAAGCAAAACAAGAAGAAAGACCCAAACCTGGTGCACGACATTCGTCGAGAGATAGAACTTAAACTCGTACGCAAACAAAACGAGAATGATGCTCACTCCCACAATCGTCACTGAACGAAGAATTCGAAAAGAGAAGCTTAGCTCCGATCGAGGGAAGAGACACAAGAACTTCGAAAATTCGCCAGATCGGGACTTACAAATGGCTCCAGAGACCGTCTTCTGCGTGAGATGCTCATCCGCGTGCGCGAATGCGTTGATATTCTTCATCTTCAACCCCATAGCTCAAGATCCTCAAAGCATTGCCCTGGCGATAAACCCTAGAAAAGATTTCTAGGGCTTGTTGGTTTTTACCCTTTGAAAATAGTCAAACATTTTAAACGCTCCTATTAGGGTTTTAGCATGGCGTGCCATAGGGTTTCGTCGTTCGTCGCCCTGGGAGGCGCATTGGGGGGCCGCCATGGAGTTCCATCGCAGGTCAGTCGGAAACTCTTACTCCATCGACCGCGCATGCTTGTTTTGCTGCTCGATTCCTCCTAGATTTTGAGATATTTCACGCGAGCCTCACAATTTCTCGCCTCGAGCTCCCTTTGCATTTCTTACTGACCGCTCGACTGTGCAGGATCACATCTTCTTCCCTTGCTCCACCGCTCAATCCAGGCCCCGGAGCTTCGCCGGCTCCAAGAATCCCCGAAAATCTCCCTGCTGCTTCGCTCAGGCGGCGCAGCTCGAGGCCCTGGGCATCACCGAGACGGGGAAGTTCTCCATGAGCGACGACGATCTCTCCTCGCGGGGATTCCAGCTCCACAGGTCGCTCGACAACATCAACCTCGACGATCTCAACGCGCTCTTCGTCAAGGTGGGCTTCCCTCGTCGCCAAAACGAGAAGCTTTTACGTGCTTTGGAACACACAGGGACCATGCTGTGGGTCACAAAGGCTGGCAGCGTCATAGCTTTCGCCAGGGCCACGGGCGACGACGTCTTTAACGCGATCATCTGGGACGTGGTGGTGGATCCAGCGTTCCAAGGGATTGGTCTGGGAAAAGCAGTGATGGAGAGGCTCATGGCCGACTTGACAAGGAAGGGAATCACCAACATCGTTCTCTATGCCGAGCCCAACGTTTTGGGATTCTACAAGCCGCTGGGATTCGTCGTGGACCCGGATGGGATTCGTGCGATGTCCCTGAGTCGCAGACGAAGAGCATAGGTCACCGGTAAGAAAAGGAAAACTCTTTTTAGTTTTGTAAGATCGGTTGTTCTCTACTGACAAATGGTGTGGCTGTTTGCAGTGCTCGAGAACTTGGCATTACTGGGCTTGCAAACTTATGGTACGTGTTCAAGGATTGCAAAGCTGTCATTCTTGAGTTTTTCTTGCTCGGGACGTGATGTTGTAGTAAAAGGTCTGAGGACAGGTTTATCCTAGAGTGTCTAGGAAGTGGCCAAGTTGGATGGAGGACAGCTTTTGGAAATGCTCGAGTTTAGTATTTCACTATTGCAAGTCCTCCACAGTTTTATCTTGTTTAATTGCAGAAGGTTGAGAAAAAGGCGCAGGCTGCTGGTAAAGATTAACCAGACGGCCTAGACTTTGCCTTCCACATTCTACTCGACTTTTGGCTTGCCTTGCACTTTGATGGATTGCTGTATCCTGTGACGCCTATCCTGACTGATCCCATCCTTTTCTTCTTTTTACTTTTTGTTTATTCCTTGTGTGTGTGTGTGTGTGCTGTTCTTTTTATATGTCTGTTCGTGTTGACGTGATGTACATTCTGTGATCATGGCACGATCATGCCGTATGACTTACAGGACATGTTCGGCAGAACCGTATAAAAGGAGCAGTCTTGCATGAAGTTGCATATCCAAGTTTTGGATTGCTTCCTCTCTCCTAGCTATGGCTCGCTTGGTTGTGTTTGGATTGCTCGCGGCAACTTTGTTTCTGTGCTTTCTAGCAGAAGCTCAAGCCGACGGATACGACTACAAGCCCGATGATAAGAAGGTTGCGTACAAGGAGGAGCCGAAGAAGGACGAGGAAGTGAAGAAGCCAGTGTACAAGCCAGAGGAGGAGAAGAAGTACAAGCCAGAGGAGGAGAAGCAGTACAAGCCAGTCTACAGGGCCGAGGATGAGAAGAAGTACAAGCCAGTCTACAAGGACGAGGATGGGAAGAAGTATGATGAAGACGACAACGATGACAAGGAGAACTACAAATACAAGCCACGCTACGAGGCCGATGACAACGACGACAACGAAGATGATGAGGACGAGGAGTACTACAAGTTCAAGGCACACTTCAAGGCCGGTTACGGGCACAAGAAGTACAAGCCATACAGGTACAAGGCTGACGATGACGATGATGAGGACGAGGACGAGAAGCCACACTACTACAAGGCTGATGACGACGATGAGGAGGAGAAGAAATACAAGCCGCGCTACTACAAGGCCAAGCCATACTACAAGGGCAAGCCATACTACAAGGCTGACGACGAGAAGAGGTACAGACCAGGCTACAAGGCTGAGGAGAAAAAGAAGTACAAGGCCGACGACGAGAAGAAATACAAGCCTGTTTACAAGCCGGTTTACAAGCCTGCAGAGAAGCCCGCTGAGAAGCCAGTTTACAAGCCAGCTGAGAAGCCGGTTTACAAGCCAGTGGAGAAGCCCGCGGAGAAGCCAGCTGAGAAGCCAGTTTACAAGCCAGTGGAGAAGCCCGCGGAGAAGCCAGTTTACAAGCCATCGCCAGCGTACCAAAAGGTTGCTATCGAAGGTTTTGTTTACTGCCAAGATGGTTACTCCAAGAAGCCACTCGAAGGTATGCGTTTTTATTTCTCTTCACATCCTTTTTCCTTTTTCCGGTTATAATGTTTGATTCCAGGGGCTGTTGTCGGTTTGACATGCACCAAGAGCAAAGCTTATAAGGAGCAAAAGACCAACGCGTATGGCTACTTTTACTTTCCTCTCAGCTATGGCGCTTACAAGGACATTGACGTGACAACGCTCAAGGTGAGCTTGGTTTCGTCCCCGAGCAAGAGCTGCAGCGTCATCACCAATCTCAACAATGGCAAATCTGGGGCCGTGGTTGACAAGAGCAAAAGCAAGACTGTTGGCGAAACTCTCATCTATGGTGTCGGGCCCTTCGCGTTTGCTCCTGTGGAGTACTACCATTATTAACTTCGATCGATTGTTAGAAATTTTTTTTCTCAAATTTCTTAATAAAAAAGTCTTTCGAGATTATTTAAAACTTTCTTCTTACGTGGCGAAATGTTTCGCCCAATTGCCAAATTCAATGAATTATTTTTGGCATAAATTACATTCCATTTCAAAATAAATCCCAGGTTCCTGTCTTAAAAACGGAAATGAAAGCATATGCTAAAATATACTAGAATAATAAATAATGTCAGAACATTTGTTGTCCATGGCCAACTAAGAAGCAACTAAATTGAACAAACTCTTACTGTTGAAATTAGTGCTGAAATCTAAAAAATTAAAATGAAAGCATATGCTAAAATATACTAGAATAATAAATAATGTCAGAAGAAGCAACTAAATTAAACCAACTCTTACTATAAACCAGGTCAGAAATGTCATGCTTAGTGCTTACGTTCTCTCACGTTGTTCGTCATGTCATGTCCAAGCACAAAGATCAATCCAGGTTGTAACGTCGTCGAGGATAGATCGTATAAGAAGCCGCATTCTCGTTGCGAATTGCAAGCATCAATCAACTGTCTCCTCTAGACTAGAAATCATCATTCAGAGAAAAGTTTAGAATCATAGTAGTAGCTGCCATGGCTCGCATCTTCCTTTGCGGCTTGCTAGCCGCAGCCATGCTCTTGTGCATGCTCGCAGGAGCCCAAGCCGATGGATCATACGACTACAAGAAGCCATCCTACAAGGCCGATGAGGAGAAGTCCAAGCCAGCCTACAAGCCACAAGAGGAGAAGAAATACAAGCCCGAGGACAACTACAAGCCCAAGGAGTACAAAGCCGAGGAGGAGAAGAAGTACAAGCCCAAGGAGGACGAGAAGAAGAGCTACAAGCCGGAAGAGGAGAAGAAGTACAAGGCCGAGGAAGAAAAGAAGTACAAGGACGAAAAGAAGAGCTACAAGTCCGAAGAGGAGAAGAAGAGCTACAAGCCCGAGGAGGAGAAGAAATACAAGGACGAGAAGAAGAGCTACAAGCCCGAAGAAGAGAAGAAGTACGAGGAGAAGAAGAGCTACAAGCCGGAAGAGGAGAAGAAGTACAAGGACGAGAAGAAGAGTTACAAGTCCGAAGAGGAGAAGAAGAGTTACAAGCCCGAGGAGGAGAAGAAGTACAAGGACGAGAAAAAGAGCTACAAGCCCGAAGAGGAGAAGGAGAGCTACAAGCCCGAGGAGGAGAAGAAGTACCAGGACGAGAAGAAGAGCTACAAGCCCGAAGAAGGGAAGTACAAGGAGGAGAAGAAGAGCTACAAGCCCGAAGAGGAGAAGAAGTACAAGGAGGAGAAGCCGGCTTACAAGCCCGTGGAGAAACCCTCATACAAGAAAGTTGACGACGATAAGAAGTACAAGAAGGTCGAGGAAGAGGAGAAGAAGCCATTCTACACTCCAAAACCAGCTTACAAGCGCGTCGCAATTGAAGGCTACGTCAATTGCCAAGATGGCTACTCCAAGAAGCCACTCGAAGGTATAATCTTTCACCTTAGATCTCTAGATCTCTCGAAGTTTTCATCTTGTTTTGATCTCGGGAGTGTTTTCCAGGTGCTGTTGTGAGCCTGAGCTGTGCCAAGAGCGACGCCCCCCTGCAAGAGAAAACCAACGCGTATGGATACTTCTACTTCCCACTGGGCTATGGCGCGTACAAGGAAGTGGAAGTGGAAACCATCACAGTGAAATTGGCTTCCTCCTCGAGCAAGAACTGCTACATTGCCACCAATGTAAACAATGGCAAATCCGGCGCCAAGATCGACAAGAGCAAGAGCAAAATCATCGGTGAGACTCTCGTCTATGAGGTCGGCCCCTTCGCTTTCGCTCCAGCGATACCAGCTTACAAATCGCCCTACCACGCTTGACGCCCCAATTCTTTGGTCTTGCATAGAGGAATAAAAGCGGGAAAACATTTTTAAGCTTGGATCTCTGTTTTTAGGGTTCTTGATGGACAGAGAGTGCGCGGCGCTCGTGGGATAGTGCACGAATCTCGCGCAGGCCCGCGACGCGCACTCGCGCATCGCTCAGCGGCTGGGAATCCCCAACGACCCATTCGTGTCGAATCTCCTCGTCCGGATGTACGCGATGCGGCAGCTCCGTCTTTCAATTCGATCGAGCCCAAGCACGTCTTCTCGTGGAATCTTGCTGGGCGCTTTCGCCAGCAAATTGATCTCTTCCAGATCTCTTCGATTCTATGCCCCAGAAGGATCTCGTCTCGTGAAATTCCATGATCACCGCATTCTCGCGCGCTCGCTTCTTAGACGAAGTCTCTGTTTCCTCGCATAGGGACCTCGAATATACTAAGAATCTCTTGCCGATGCTGGTGGCATATTCCCGCCCGGGGCTGAACGGCTGACTTGCTGACGTGGGTTCGCCCAGACATGGCATCTGGAAGATGCTGAAGTTTCACCAGCATATTCCCAAAAAGGGCATCTTTTGGAGTTTGACGAAAGCATCTTGGACAAGGATCTTGTGACGTATGCTGTCTGCTTATAACTTTAATGGAAATTTAGAAGAAGCTAAGTTAATGCCACAGAAGAACCTGGTGACCTGGAATGCCATGCTGGCTGCATATACCTTGACCGGGCATCTGGCCCAAGCGTCACCTATTTTTGAGAATATGCCAGCTAGGAACGTAGTCTCTTGGATCAGCATTATTGCCGCGTACGGTGAATGTGGAAATATTCTTCAAGCTTGATTCCATGCCCCAAAAGGATCTAATTGTATGGAATGCAATGCTTGCGGAATGGGTATCTGGAAGAATGCCTCATGCAGATCTAGTTTCGTACACAACAATACTAGAGAGTTTGGTGGTGTTTTCAGTGCAATAGAAATATACAGTGGACGTCACATGTTGGACGTCGCTACTAATGGCATATTCCCAGAACGGAGATGCTAAGGTGTTATTTTGACTGGCGAAACCCCATGCTAGCGGCATATACCCAAAGAGGCATTTGGACGAGGCTAAAATACTTTGACAAAATGGAGCGGTGGGATATCTACAATGCTGACTGGATATTCCCAGAATGGCTATCTGGAACACGCAAGGTATCGATACTTTGGAGGCCATGCCATATTACAATGCGGTGACTTGGACCACCCTTCTTGTGGCATATGCCCAAAGAGGGATCTGGAAGAAATTACAACATTCTCTTTGACAAGATGGAGGAAAAGAGCCTCCTGTCATGCAATGCGATGCTCTCGATATATTCCCAAGTTGGACATCTTACAGAGAGGCGGAGTGGGTTTATAAATCAATCCAAGAGAAGAACTTTGTCTCATGGAATGCGATGCTTTCGGCTTACTCTCAGAGAGGGAATCTTTCCAAGGCTATACTCCTCTTTGACAGGATGCCGGAACGAGGCCCAGTTTCATGGACAGCTCTCTTGCAATGTATTCTCCCAACGGAAAACATTCTAAGAACCTAGACTTATTCAAATCCATGCAAGTTGACGGTGTTAAGAGTGTTCTAGCGGGATCGAGCCATGTTAGTGATGTTCCTGTCAGATGCTCGACTTTTCAATCGCTCTGTCTGGATTTCGAGATGATCCCGAGCAAGCAGAAGTATGGATGCATGGCAGGATTGTTCTGCCGAGCTGGGAGAATCAGGGATGCTCGAGATCTCGTCTCGAGTGCTCCATTTGTTCCAGACGAAGTAGACTGGATAAGCTTGCTCGGGAATCAGAAGAGTTTGCGAGAAAAAATTGGTGTTCAAGCGGTGGAGCAAGCTCTGGCATTGGATTCAGACTTAACAGCGCCATTTGTCTTGCTGTCACCACCTTTTAAAGCACTTTGATGGTATTTAGACTTTCTCAGGTAGGATCTATTTTGTAAGAAAACAGTAATTGCGGTTTGGAAAGAAAATTCTCTTGGGAGCTTTCGTATATAATTAGAGAAATTGTCTACCATCTCTGGAGCGTTTCTCAAAACCTGAGGACAACACTCAAAACTTGGCAGTATTTGTACCAGATAGAGATTGACAGGGTCACGGGACACAATCCAGGACGTGTTTGTTCAAACCGAAATTCATATATAAAAGTCAGCCGAAGAACACATTGCCCAAAACAAGCAAAGAGTCATAGCTTTTCAAGCTATTCCTTCTATAGAGCTACTTAAAAAACCATGGCTTCCATGCTTTCGAGCGATCGAATCTTGATGCTTTGCATGGTTTTGCCTTCATTCAGCTTCAAGGGAGCTTTGTCACACTCGATTGGATTTGGACACAGCTACGCACAAACTTGTCCCGATGCTGAGCGGATCATCCGCGACACGATCTGCGATTACGCCAATCGCGATCCAACAGTCCCGGCGGGACTGATACGCTTGCACTTTCACGACTGCTTCGTTAACGTACACTCCGGTATAGATAAGTTATACAATGTTCTTGGATTTGTGCGACGCCTCTATCCTTCTCGACTCAACTCCAACAGATATCCTCCAAACAACAATTCAGCGCAGGGATTCGAAGTTATTGACGATGCAAAGAGAAGATTGGAGAAAGCCTGTCCTGGAGTGGTGTCGTGTGCAATTGCCATCGCCGCCAGGGATTCGACAGTCAAGCTTTGATCGTTTTTGTGTCAAGTGATTGAAAGCACTGAATTTTTCCTCTCGAATGATCATATGATATTTTAGATGGAAGGCCGGCACTATGAAGTAGTCACTGGGCGCTACGATGGAAGAGTGTCAAGCTTCGATCTGGCAAGCACAACACTGCCAGGTCCCTCGTTCGATGCTGCAGCTCTCATTGAAAACTTCAATAATTGAAAGCTTGTCCATTCAAGATCTCGTTGTTCTATCAGGTTGGATAAATTAAACTATCTTAACAAATTCTTACACAAATTCTTGGCAGGAGCTCACACAGTTGGGGCCTCCAAGTGTTTTACTTTCGCCAACGGCCGATTTGATCGCATATACAGCTTCAAAAACACCAGCATGCAAGATGAAACTGTGAATCCCGAGTATTTGGCATATCTCCGGAGATTTCACCGCGAACACAGTCGAGTTTGACAGGGGCTCCCAGTTTAATTTCGACAACTGGTACTTCAAGAACTTGGAGAAGAGGAATGATCTTCTCACCTCTGACCAGGACCTCTTTGAGAGTCAATTCACGAGTGGACTGGTGAAGTTTTACGGGAACAATCCCGATAAGTTTGCCCGGGACTTCGGGCAGTCCATGATCAAGATAAGAAACATTGGGTGGAAGACGAGAGAAAATGGAGAGATCAAGAGGGTGTGTAATGTAGTAAACAGCGACTCGTATTCACAGTAAGTTTGATCAGTTGAAAATCAGTTGTTGTATGTCATTTTAAATTGATATAGAATCTTCTGGAATATCACTTTTCTAGAATATTCTAGGATGAAATGGAACACTCTAGAGTTGTCCATAGCTCTGTATAAACGTGGAGCAGTCTCTTGGCCTGAGCATCGAAAAGTTACAAATTTCTTCTTCGTCTTCTAAGTTCCAGACATGGCTTTGCATTTCTATGGTGGCAATGGCAGCAGCATCTTCGATCCCTTCGAGGAGCTCTCGTCGATCTTGGCTGGTGGCCACGAGCCCTCGAAGCAGATGGCCAGGGATGCGAGCGCCGTCGCCAACACTCGCGTGGATTGGCTCGAGACGCCCGAAGCGCACGTCTTCAAGGCCGATCTCCCGGGGCTGACCAAGGAGGAGGTAAAGATCAGCGTGGAGGATGGCCGCACTCTCCAGATCAGTGGCGAGAGGAAGAAGCACGAGGCACAGAAGAGCGATAAGTGGCACCGCGTGGAGCGCAGCTATGGGAGCTTCCTGAGGAAATTCCGGCTGCCCGAGAGCGCCAATGTGAATGCGATCAAAGCCCAAGTGGAGAACGGCGTCCTCACGGTCACAGTTCCAAAGATCCCCAAGCCACAGCCAAGAACTATCCAAGTAGAGTAGAAGTGTGATCTTGTAAATTTGAGAAAGAGAATGGGAAAAGTCAAATAAAGAGCCCCCTTTTCTTACACTCGATGACGTCCCTGTTGATGGTCTTTCCGTTTGTTAGAAAACAGCTATCTTGAGTGGTCTAAGGGGGGATACCTGCATTCCAATTCGAACCCAACTTAACTTTCCCATTTATTTATAACTGAACGTGTAGATCATGGGGACGTTCATTGTCTTTGTAAGATCGTGACCATGTCCTTCAAGACCTTTAAAAGCGTCATGTATGAGAACCACATTTTAAGCCATGGAGAGATCAAATGCAACACCACTTTTCTTGCTGGTGCTAGTAGCTTTGTCCTCTTTGGCACAAGCAGAGTACAAGCTTGGAATTCCTCTCCAAAAGTATAGCCACAGTTCTTCTCAATATGAGAAGCCCGCAGCATACAAACAGGTAGCAATAGAAGGCTTCGTCTACTGCCATGGGAGCCAGAGAAAACCTCTAGAAGGTTTGTTTAAAGTTTGTTGTCATGATAGACTTCGATCTTCCTCTTCCAGGGGCTGCCGTGGGAGCCGTGTCATCGGAGAGCAATCGCTACGTCGGAGCCAAGACAAATTCTTATGGCTACTTCTACATTCCTCTCAACTATGACAGGCCCAAGAAGCCCGTGAATCCAAAATCCTGGAGAGTTTTCCTTGTCTCCTCCCCGGATCAAACTTGCAGTGTCAAAACCAACACTGGAAATGGCAAAACGGGAGCTTTTCTAGCTCGCAGCAAGTCATTTTCAGATCGCATCCTTTACACCGTTGGCCCATTCGAGTTTATGCCATTGCCTCCAGGGTACACACAATCCCCCAACTATTGACGTGTTGTGTAGAATCGTTGATACTCAAGCAAGTGAATGAACGCTTGTCATTTTATTAATAACATTGTATGACTTTTATTTTGTTTTTACGAATTTATTTCTTAGAGCGTCAATTTCTTTTTTGGATATTAGATGGATATTCGATTCTTAAATGATTGTTTTGATTTCTAAATTGTTTATGTACTATCTGTTCCATATAAACTGCTGAAAGAATTAGAGAAAGCCTAGACATGCAGACAAAAGTATTTATCTTCGCATTCCTATTTATAAATTTGTGCTTTAGCATTAGAAGGCGTTACCAATATCCAAATGCAATTAGTTTGGTTTTGAGGCAAACTGTTATAATGGAAGAAGTTTTTAAACTTCTTAGGGACGTTAGCCAGGTAGAATTTGATTATTATGGAGGATTTTCATATGGCACTCTATTAAAACTTGAAGATGGAAGGATCATGAGTGTAGATATTGGATGGTTAAATTCTCAAAGAAAATGGTATTCTTTTGATATGTGTAATATCTTTCCAAATTGGGGGTTTACTACTACTGGTGCAGCACTAGCATCTGAAATGATGACAATAGTGAAGAAATATGTAGTAACTGATCAAGTAACTTATGGTTCTGCTAAATATACAGCGGGGAGATACATGATTTCATATGTTATTGATGATCCAAGTCATGAAAATATTAAAAGCTTATCAAATTTCTCTAGTCAAACTAAAATAGTTGAGGTTGTGGAACATGATTGTGACTTGTATAAAACATGTATTCAAAGCGGTCCAATATATACAAGTTTTTCTAAGCTTACTGCTGGGAATTATCTCCAATCCTTAAATACATTTTACACTGTGCACATGCAACATGACTGCAGATTAGTCATTTACCATGGTCCAGAAGAATTATGGGGCACGAAAACTCAAAACAAAGGTAATGGTTGCTATCTTCAGATGCAAAAAGATTGCAACTTAGTGATATATGATGAACATGGAAATGTTGTGTGGACATATAATATTTATTGGACAAATAAGTGGCTTCCTTGTGCATTTTGTATAGAGGATGATGGATTTGTTGCAGTTTATAACACTCAAGAGCAAATTAATATATGGAGATCAGATAATTAATCTTAATAGTTTATATGCTTATTTTTCTTAATTATATTTATAATAAAAAATTCCTCTAGAAATCTTACTATAAAGCTTAGGAATAGTGTTACTAGACAAAAAAATGCTAGAGGTGTTCTTTTCTTGAACAATTAAAATCCATGGTTGGAAATCTATGGTGGCAAGCTGTAGCGCATGTGATCATGGGATGAGATTTGGATATACTGTCATTGTGGATCCTTGGAACCTTGGGAGATAAATGGCTTTTCTCCATTTTGGTTAGTTGGCTTAAGGGGAGAGAGATAAGGTGCGCTACAGTTGGTATCGGAGCAAATGGCACGGGTTCGATTCCCATTGATTAGTGTTAGTCAATAGTCAATGAGGACATTGACATCTCTGAAGGGGGGGTGAGTGCATCCACCGTGGGACTGCGGTACGGGTCGATGACTAGTTGCCTCACATGGAATAGCTGGTCTACACAATGGAAGGATTGGAAGGATTGGTAGATTGAGTGCGGAAATGGAGGTGTTGATTCCCCTTGGCTCAGTAGGGGTTGTTAGTCAATAGTCAATGAGGACATTGACATCTCTGAAGGGGGGGTGAGTGTAGCGCATGTGTCTCTAAAGGGGGGGTGAGTGTAGCGCATGTGATCATGGGATGAGATTTGAATATACTGTCACTGTGGAACCTTGGGAGATAAAATAGCCACTAAGGGCTCTCTCATCAAACAATTACCCCTTTTCCAGTTGGCTTAAGAGGTGAGTGTAGCGCATGTGATCATGGGATGAGATTTGAATATACTGTCACCGTGGAACCTTGGGAGATAAAATAGCCACTAAGGGCTCTCTCATCAAGCAATTGCCCCTTTTCCAGTTGGCTTAAGGGGAGAGAGATAAGGTGCGTTACACAAGCTCCATATGGAGCAGATGAGACTATAACATAGAAGTTTGGATGGATATAATCCAAAGAATAGTTTCATCTCTTTTAGCTAGATAGTGAATCTAGTGGAAAATACAAATTCTCAAGGTCTAGCAAGATAGAATGGATCTTGCTATGAAATTTACTCTTCATCAACACTAATTTTGTCAATAGAAGCAGCGCTCAAAGATTGCCAAGATTTTTAATGAGTTATATAACTTATATAGAGTATAGGCTACTATTCTTCACATGGGGTGATTCCAATGTGTGTGTGTGGGTTCCAACCCTATAGCCATCAAATTAAATAATATCATCTTTGTTTGTCACTTCTAAATTTCTACATTTTGAACTGATAAAACTAAGGAAAGACAACCATGTAGATCATTTTAAGTTGTGACTTTGTGCCACAACATACAAACAAAGAGATTGCCATAGACACAAAGAGAAGTTAAATTTTGTAAATTCTCTTCCCAAGAGGGTGCTGTGGCAGCTATGTCCCTCAAGAGCAATGACTCTATTACAAATATCCGTGCATTCTTCCCAACTATACAAACCTATGAATTCAACATCCTAGAGAGTTTTTCTTGTGTCCTTAGATTAAGTTTGCAATGTCAATACCAACAGTAGACAGGATTGCAACAAGTCATGTCCTGAATGCATCCTCTTAGACTGCTATATAAAATCTGCATAATAATAAATTCTATTCAGCTTATAACATCCTTAATAATTTTTATTTATTCCATTATAACTTTTTGCCTTCAGTATAGTATGCTTGGAAAAACTTGAATATTTTGGACCTCCTTGAATACTTATACAACAGCCTCAACTGTTTTAATTTGACTAGAGAATTTGGGGAAATTATAATAGTTTCAGGAGGATCAACATTAATATATGAAATCATATACCTCCCGACTAGCAAAACCAAAATTCATGTCATTGTGAAATACATATTTCTTCATTACTTCCATATTGCTACACCACAATTAGTGATACCCCAATTTGGAAAGTTCACACACACATATGATAGAGTATTTTGAGAATTTATTGTTCAATTGAAGATGGAAGGACAATGAGTGTAGATACTTATACCATACATGACTCCAAAATACAAACAATCTTCCAACTATTGATGTTGTGTGCAAAGCTTTTGATTAATATTTTGTATAGTTTTTTATTTTGATTTCTAATGAGATTTAATATAAAATTTAACTCCTATATTTTAAATTGCATAGATAAAACTTTCTCTTTTTATGGTGTAGTATTATGTATGCTACCAATATCCAAATGAGAATTATCTCCAATCTTTAAATAGGTTTTATACTGTATACATGGTCATTTCCCATGGTCGCACAGAATTATGGGGCACCAAAACTGAAAACAAAGGTGATGGTTTCTATCTTCAAATGCAGAAAGATTGTAACCTAGTGATATATGATGAAAATGGAAACACATATAAATAATTATTAGACAAATAAGTGGCTTCCTTGTGCTTTTTGTATCGATGATGATGGATTTGCTGCAGTTTATAACACTCAAGAGCAAGCTCGTATATGAAAATCATCTCAATATAATGTGTTTAGTTTTCTAATTTGATTTCTAGTAAAAGAAAAGGAACAAAGAGGAACAAAGGTGAATCTTTTCTTCCACAGTCCATGGCCGGCTTAACTCGAAAATTTTAGGGCGGCGAGCGCCACATGGAGAGCGTGTCGGCCGATTCCTTTCTCTCTCGCGCTATTTACAATTTAAAAGAACTGCAACGCCAAAGAGGAAGGAACAAAGAAGTTTGGTTGGCCGCGCGATCTAAAAGAAACAAGGTAGAGCGCGTAGCAATAGTTTCATTCGATCTCTTTTGGTCAGATGGTGAATCCAGTGGCATATGCAAATTCTCGGGGAGCAATTGATAGAATGGATCTCCTCCACAACCGCAATGAAAATTCGCTCTCCACCGACGCTGATTCCGCCAGCAGCAGCAACGGCGGCGGCGCCCCGAAGATCGCCAAGAAGATCGATCGTTTCTTGGACAGAAGCAAGAAATCTTTGGTGAGTTCCTTCAAGGATCTGGGCTACCTCCACCAAATCGACGAAGAAGAGGGCGATCGTCACCACGTCCCCTTTCAATCGATCACCAGAGGCAAAAACGGGGGCATGAAAGAATGCCTTGCGTGCCTGGGAATGGCCGCGGCCCTCACGGTCGTCATGGCTGGGATGTTTGGGATCATCCTGCTGCTCGCATTCCACCCAAAATCGCCCACCGTCTCGATCGATCGCGTCTCTAACGGCACACTCTTCCTCTTCGCCGAGTCCACCACCATCCTCGTCGCGCGACTCAACCTCACGCTCCTCGCCAAGAACCCAAACGCCAACGCAGAGATGAGATTCGAACCCTCGTCGCTGGGGCTTTGGTTTGGGGATCGAAACCTGGGCCGGTTCCAGGTGCGAGCGTTCACACAGCCGGCAAGGATGGGAAGTACGCCCTTTCTTGCGGTCATAGATTCTACCACCAATCTCACCGGGAGTGGAGTGGAGCAAAAGATAAGGGCGGAGTTTCGGCAACAAAATGCCACGTTTGGGCTCTTGGGGTATCTGCGCGTCCAGAGAAGGGTGGCAAGTGTGGTGCCTTCCAATGCAGTTGTAAATGTCAACTGTAGCATGAGTTTTAGTCCGAGTTTTCCACCAGTAATCCTTGCAAAAGTTTGCTTGGGCGGAGCAGCTGAGTGGTAAAAGTGAAATTCCAATTTTGTTTTATGTTGTTTTAACAGTTTACCACTATTATACAGTCAAAGGTTATGGAAACATTGGCTGCTATTGCCTAAACGTTTAATTATGAAGAGAATGTTATAGAGTGAGCTTTTTCTAACGATGGAAAAATAGAGAAATGTAGTGATAATGATAATATATTTCATATAAATTACCAAGTGGTAATGGATATATCTAGTAGATTCTTGGATATTCAAGGATATTTTACCATCTAACAGTTGTTATTGATCATATATTTATAATTTTTAAATTTGTTTATGTGAGTGTTTAGGATATAGGAATAAGTATATTAATTAAGGTTTAAACCAGATTAAGTCC